AAACAAGTGATATATTCACGTTAAATAATGATAACGAGCATATTGGGAAATTACATACACAAAATTAGACGCGAAAGTCACGAAGACTTTACGAATTTTTAGTTTTCAAATTCTAGACAGTCTTTTAATTAAAAAGCCTCAATTTTATTTTAATGAACTAATTTATATTCGGCTCCTCTCCGAACATCGTGGTCCCTCAAGTCTCCTTTCCGCCGAAGATCGATATAGGAGGTACAGAGCGAGAATATCTCGGAATTGCTAGAGCTATCCGATCTAATGACGCTTTTCTGATTTCAGATACTGGAGCACGACAGGGAGCGGTCAACAGATCGTGACGGACGTTCCGCGCGATAACAAGGCGGCGATCATCAACAGCATCGCCTCGTCGTACGCGTCGTGGCAGCGGCCGAGGTATAACGCTACCCCGATGCCGCGAACTTCGAAGATCATCACCGTCGACGGTGATAAAACGAGACAGTACAGCGAGACAGGAAGATCCAACTGGCCGTACTATCAGACATACAGACGAACGGCGGAAGCGCAGAAGGCGCAGATCTACGAGGATATCCAAAGGAAGATTGCGAATGCGTCGAATATCTCGAGTATCAATTACTCATTCGCGAGCAACGCGACCAACTTGGCGGATCAGCGCCAGCACAGACTCAGGATGAAGCATCACGGGTTGACGTCCAAGGGCAAGCGAGTTAGAACACGTGAGTACCAGCATCTCTCGGGATATAAATCACGTATCATTCGCGATATTAAGTTTCATTTGTATCTAAAAGAGTTATATTTTTTACAATAATACTATTTATTATATATATCTTATTAATTTTAATATATATTTAAAAAATTTTTTTATACTTTATATAGTGCCTTACGTGAGTTTTATATATTATTATATCGTTTAATATTATCGTTTGAAAAATACTGGTTTTTTCATTCGCGTAGAAGGGTATAATGCAGCTAGTGACGCTATATCGAGGTGATACGATCGATAGCCATCCCTATTGATCACCGCTAATCCAGCAAAGAATGATTACGGACATAATTCAAAATGTTTTTCGATCCTTCGCTGGTATCTCCGATTTTGCTATTTAATCGAGCCTCTAATTAACTCTTTAATAGACACGGCGAAAACGGGACGACCGAACAAAACCCCCGATGCAGTTTTTCATTGACGATAGCTAATGCAAAAGAAGCGAGCGCTCTCAATAGCCATATTTCCCGCGTAAATGATCAAAGCGCACTACCACTACCTTTTCCTTTCTCTCTCTCTCTCTCTTTCTCTTTCGTCTTTCACATCCGCGTTGTGTCCTCCACCCTTTCTGTCTCGCGTTTGTCCGCCGTTCTGGTTTCCGTGCCAAGTTGATGCAGCCTTTTCCTCGCATGCGAACATTTAGTGTGCAAGATTGTACATTACATAGCAGTATATTATTCGATTTGATAATGAGACATAACTGACAAATTGCAACGTAATAGCAAAAATTATAAATATTTAATTTTAAGAGATAAAAAAGAGTGAGGAAAATTGATCATTATTATGTTTACACGAATCTAATATTTCTTGCAATTTATCTAATCCTAGGATTATCGCATTTCACTTTAATTATGATTTTTCGAAAAGACGATCTTAGCCGAACTTAACGAAACAATGCCGTATATTATGATTCTTCGATTTTAAGCTAAACTGTCTTACTATTTAAATCGAAAATTAATTTTTTTAAAATTTAACAAAAGGGGGAGAAATGTCAAAGAGAGTAAAATTTAAAGCCAGAAACTTGCCTTTAAAGCTAGAACTTTCTTTATCCTCGTTGAGGTCACCTATCACAGTCATCTAGTTCCGACAACTCCCTGCACGTCGCGAGATTAGACGTGGACCCGCAGACCCGCTCGAGCGGAATAATTGCACTCGTGATTCCAGGCGCACCGAGAGATTGCAAGATCGGCGAATGGGGTCCGTGGAGCGCGTGCAGTCGCAGCTGTGGGGTAGGCGAGACCCAGAGGACGCGGAAGGTCACGATAAAGCCGCGCCGAGGAGGCGCCCCGTGTCCGCCGTTGAAGGAGACAAAGTGGTGCGGCAGCGTAAATCACCGCGCCACTATAAATGCCGCACCCTGTATATTCATTATATTTTTTATCATTATTTCCTTCGGTGTCATTATTTATATATGTATGTCACACTCTGAATTATTTTTTATTACGTTTTATATTTTTCAAAATTATATAATTATTACCATGCCATTATAACATTTTAATTATACGTAGATTCTTTTTTCAAATAAAAATGTTAATTATAATTAAAATACAATATACATATTTGCTGCTTTTATAATATTTCAATTGTACGTTTATTCTTTCTCGAACAAACGTTAATTATGATTTCACAAAGGCCGAATATCAATGTATAGTTGTATAGTTCAGCGACATTCGAATTTATTCGACAAATGTATTCGTTATAACAGGAGCGTAAGAATTGTATAACGCTATTGCAATTATAATACATTGGCCAGTTAAATTAATTCAGTCAGCAAATCGACTGGCAGAGCGCTCGAATCATTTTTGTCATTTGCAAATTCGCGAATTTCACTTTCTCCTGGAAATAATTAATTTTCAACTTTGTCTCGCACGAGACGACGCACTATACCTCGTGTTTTATACAAGTAATACGTACACGTTTGGCAAATGGCGTCCGACAAGTTCAGTGCACCACTGATACCTGGCCAGTTCCATTTAGTAATTGCTACCTAACACGCTCGTCCAACTTATTACTGTCTAGGCGCTGTCTACACTGTGGCGTTTCGCTGCATCGCACCGACCGACTGCATGTATATTCATCGAGTATTGATTGCGAATATATGGACATAGTAATGGAAATTCCGCCGATTCGCGTTAAAGCATTGCCCGATGCATCGTCAGTCAAAATGCGCGCGTCGGACAATAATAATTACACGCGAATAATATCAACGTAACCAAGTGATATATTGACGTTAAATAATCATGGAGAGCATATTGGGAAATTACATACACAAAATTAGACGCGAAAGTCACGAAGACTTTACGAATTTTTAGTTTTCAAATTCTAGACAGTCTTTTAATTAAAAAGCCTCAATTTTATTTTAATGAACTAATTTATATTCGGCTCCTCTCCGAACATCGTGGTCCCTCAAGTCTCCTTTCCGCCGAAGATCGATATAGGAGGTACAGAGCGAGAATATCTCGGAATTGCTAGAGCTATCCGATCTAATGACGCTTTTCTGATTTCAGATACTGGAGCACGACAGGGAGCGGTCAACAGATCGTGACGGACGTTCCGCGCGATAACAAGGCGGCGATCATCAACAGCATCGCCTCGTCGTACGCGTCGTGGCAGCGGCCGAGGTATAACGCTACCCCGATGCCGCGAACTTCGAAGATCATCACCGTCGACGGTGATAAAACGAGACAGTACAGCGAGACAGGAAGATCCAACTGGCCGTACTATCAGACATACAGACGAACGGCGGAAGCGCAGAAGGCGCAGATCTACGAGGATATCCAAAGGAAGATTGCGAATGCGTCGAATATCTCGAGTATCAATTACTCATTCGCGAGCAACGCGACCAACTTGGCGGATCAGCGCCAGCACAGACTCAGGATGAAGCATCACGGGTTGACGTCCAAGGGCAAGCGAGTTAGAACACGTGAGTACCAGCATCTCTCGGGATATAAATCACGTATCATTCGCGATATTAAGTTTCATTTGTATCTAAAAGAGTTATATTTTTTACAATAATACTATTTATTATATATATAAATCCGTGCTCGGAGAGCAAGCCGATCATCGATTACCATTGGTAGTCATCGTCGGGGGTCTTTCACGAACACGTGTACCAAAGTGACTCGCTCTCACGGACGAAAGGTCGCGCGGGCAAGCGGACGACGAGACGGGTGAGGAGCGATTTATGCGAGAAATGCGCACGCAAACGGGACGGACGTGATCGGTATGAGAAATTAAATTAACGGAGAATGATATAAAGTTGAAGTTGAGAATATCTTTTATATCGACATGGCGCTGGGAATGTATTATTGTGGGCTATAGAAAGAGAGTAGTGATTCGTGTGGTTTGACAATATATATTACAGAAAAATTTCGTAAACAATAACTCTGATATCTTTAGGAAAAGAAGGGCTGTTGCAGCGACCATTGGCACCGGACGATAATACTACGTATGTTTACGCAAACGATCGTGCACGACGTACATATTTTTGTTACGTGCGACTTAAAGCGACATAATCTCATGGTATAATTTTTTTAATTACGATCACAGAATTTGCGATTATTACATAAAACCGAGAAGGATATCATGGTCGTCATTCGGTGACTTTATTTTACTCGCTTACATTTATTGTCGTTTGATGTCACCGTGCAATACATATTATTTGCATCCCTCAAATTCGCCAACATTGAAAACATTGTCAAAGATCGCCAGAGAAATCCAAATAGCTGACTCGTATTGTATCGAGTTTCCGCGTGTATCACTAAAATGCGTTTGAGTCTCGATTTTCACCCGGAGCGCGCGGCGTTCCGATTTTTTTTTGTTTTTTTTTTTTTTTTTTTTTTTTTTTTGTTTTTTTTTTTTTGGGAATAATTGAACAATCGAGCACTGTTTGTCGAATTTGTTATGGTAAAGTTACGGTGAAAAAGCAACGTAAAAGAGAAGAAAAAAATCGTGTATCTATCTGCGATATTCGTTTCACTAATACAACGCAGATCTGCAAATTGTTGTATTTATCTAGTCATATCAATACGTCTGAGATTATGAAAATACCAAAGATTGATTTATATATTAATTTGACGAGAAAATGGCTTTTGAAAATTAAATTAATTCGCGATTTCAACTCGCGTCGAAAGCGAGTTTAATATGGGATAACGTGACTATAACACGCCTCGATCTTTGCACGCGATCGAAGGTAGAAATGAACCTCGGCATAATTGGAAAATTGACCCAACTTTCCGGAAGAAAAACGTTACATGCAATTAATCTGATAGTTTAATCGCCGGTACAAATAATATACCGCGAATGATCGACGTGTACCACACGCTCAGGCGCGAGAAATTTCTCCGGTGAAATTTAACCGTCGCGTGCCACACCATAGTCTCGCTGAGATTAAGTCGACGTTTCTCGGAACCTAGTACATTGCTTGTTAGAGCGAAGTTTTTATCGGCCCGCTATTTTCTATCACGAAACGAAAACGGTCGTGTGCGAGAGATTTGCGATGGAATTCTCCTTAAACAAGGTATAAATAAAGTTAATAATCAACTTAAAATAAGATCTCTAAATGAGATCTTTTTTTAATTAAAAGGAAATATTATTTCTTATATTTACTTGTAATTGTATATTCTCTTTTTATTTGATTGCTATATTCTTGGAATTCTATACTTACTTTATCCTTTATGGTATAACTTTTTGTTCCCAAAGGAATTTTATTTTCGAGAAAATTCGCAAGATACGCTTGCAATTTTTTGCGAAACGTCGTGCAATGATCGAAAAGGTTAAAATATCTCGTGGGAAGAAAAAAAAAGCGTAAGATCGATGTCCGCGTAGGGCGTGTCGAGTAAACGCCAGAGCGATTTTCAGCGCGCTCGTACAGATTTTCAGAATCCCAGACAAGGTCGCGTGAGTGTTTTTCGCAAAGCGTCTCCTCGCTCGATAGAGAATACCGTGGAATAAAGCAGGAACCCATAGAGCGGGTGTTCCGCAAAATTTGATTTTTTTTCTCCACCGTCACCGAGAGTGCTGCATCTCTCTCTCTCTCTCTCTCTTTCTCTCTCTCTCTTTCTCTGTCTATCTGTTTCTCTCTCGTGGCGTGGTAGGGAAATTTTTACAAAGATATCATCAGGTACGTCTTAGGTGAGTGTATTATATCTTAGGCATAAATTTAACGATAATAATTAACAATTAACGTCTAATTGTAACACTCGTTAATTATTAGGCCCGTATTAATCGCGTTCGCGACGCGGAGTTCGGCGTTGGTCGCGCAGAATATTCGAAATTTCAGTTATAAAAATGAAATCGAACCATCCCGTAGAGAGGGATGGATCTATAGATCTAAAAGAGTGACTCGACGTTGAATTCCGCACGCGACGTATATACGTCGACGCACGGCTTGTCCTTCGTATTTATTAATGTCCGTAGCCACTATTCTCACCGGATATTCAGTGCTGAATGCCCGATCGTGAAGATTTATTGATATATATAATACGATCGATTAAATTAGAATTTTAAAAATAGTCATAATTTGCAAAAATTGCGTAGTCGCGTTTAGCGCTGAACACGCGGCGAGAATAGAGGTTTGCGTAGCTAAAGTATTGTAATTATACAACTTTTTTTTACCCGAATTTATATGTTAATTTTGACAGGAAAATGAACGTAATGTAAAAAAGCTATTGTGTCAGTTCACTATACGTCATTGTAATAAAAGGAAATAACGTATAAATTTTCAAAATCAATTTCGTATATGACGCAACAATAATGATTTCTCTGCTGCGTTGGTTCTAGCGAAATGTAAAATAAGCACGCTATGAAAAATAATGGTACGGGCGGAGAATATAGCGTACTGTACAAACTCACGTACCGTCGCGTAATATCTGTACCTATATCTACGTTTGTTCATCGCGCTGAAACTGAAATGAAAAGCTAATCGTCGCGATAACAACGGATAAAGGTGGGTGAGAGGAGTCGATTACGCATAAAAATTTTCAAATTGCCGCTTGGCATCTCATAACGCTTCGGTAATTATCTTGAAAGTACGAAAAAGCTGCGCGTTACGCAACACCTCTCGACAATACTCATATAGAGTAAGATGGTATATCTTTTTTACACAATCATCCTTGCTCTCTTGCTTTCTTTTCAATTTTAAAATTGTTGAAGCCGTTTGTGCATGCAAATCTAACAATGGAAGAGACAGCTAAAAAGCCCTCGCGATCGAAATAATAACTGCATATAATAAAATTGAGTACAAACGAAAGATGATGACTCTCGAAATTTTCTCTGAGGAACAATCGACTTTGTTCAAGAACTTCTCGTTAAAATCGTGCATTTTATATAGAAGATGTATTGCTCTCATCCTATCTTTTGAGCGAAAGATATAGAAAGCGCACACGGCGGGGATACAATCTTAATTACAGCGGTACTTATGATGCTCTCTTTCTTTCTTTCTCTCTCTCTCTCTCTTTCTCCCTCTCTCATATTACGTTAAAACTCGATCGTTCACGATAATTAGCGGCTGATCTTTGCCGGAGATAATCTTTTAGAATCCATCTTTGGCGGCGGGAACGTGCGGTCGAAGTAAAATATCGGACCGAGTTAATCCCCGACACGGAAATGCAACCGGCGTATTGTAAAATCTTTCATGGAACAATACCGCACGGCGATAAGAGAGAAAGAGAGAGAGAGAGAGAGAGAGAGAGAGAGAGAGAGTCGCTCTTTTCATTTTTCCCTGATATATATAATATATATATATATAATATATAGGTATAGGAAGGAGGGCCGAGCCGTTGCCGTCTCGCAGTTTTAGATGCATTAAGGATAAACGTTTTGTAAACTAAACGGGAAAGCTTTCGTGAGAAACGGGAGCTTCTATGACACGGAAAGAGGAAAGGAGCGAATACACAATACTTTTGAAATAACGATCACAAATCACTGTAAATTTATTACCGTCGAATAGAGATATTTAAGTTCGGTGCAATTGAATCAGAGAGTTCGTTTATATCGGGATCCGTGATAATGCAAGGTGCAATTCTTTTCTGTATTCCTCAATTGAGCTCGATCGTAAAACTTTGCTCTTTTGGATACAATTTGAATATCACAAATATCTTTCGTAAATTAATTATTTAATTTGTGCGCGAAATATAGTTTGTTATTTATTATTGAACAAATGAAGATAAATTGGACAAACTTATATATATTTTGCAGTCTGTCTTATATTTTATAGAATATTTATTTAATTAATACAAATAATATGGAAATATATTTCTTTATCCTTTCCTCTTTCGCGCGTTTCCGGTCTACGTGACAATGACAAATCAATGACAGATTAATGGAGGAGCTAAGTGGAGTGCCATGATGATTATTCTGTACAAGTCACTGTGCATTCTAGCCCTGTAAGGATAGCCGATAGGACTAGCGATTAAGCCGAAGCATATGTAGCGATGTATAACACATAAGTTTATATTACATAATAAAATGTGTCGAGAAAATAAGCGGGCTCCCTTCTCGATCTTCGAATACATAATATTTTTCACTTGCGACGTATGAATGGTATTCGTATATAATAAAGTAGTAATTATTTCAGGAATCGTGTAATCCTCTCTCTCTCTTTGTTACCCTTTTTTTACTCTTCGCGAGTATCATTCTACACGAACATCATTTTCCGATAAAACTTATATTTCCATATAAAATAATTCCGTTCCGTTAACTAAATAACGTGAGATATAAATCGTTTTAAATTACTAAAAATAAAATAATGTTTTTGTAAAATACGTTTACTATAATACTGTGCACATTTTGTATAAACCGTCTGCCAAAGATTCTATATAATTTCAGGTACTTCCACTCACGTTAAAGAAATTCTTTTTCAAATCGAATGTTAAAGAATGCGCCTTTATCTCTTCGCATTCTAGACATTGAAGATTTTTTTACAACAATCTGCAAGACACCATAATAATAGCCATTGTTGTTATATTACAAAGCCGATAGAAGAATCTTGACGACGAAAGACACTACTGTAAGTATTCAATTACATTGATGTAAGTATATAACCACGCCGGAAGTAAGCAATTTCGTGTAATTCTTCAAATTATAAAACCGAACGAGTTCTTTTGCTCGTTTACCATTTTCCACCCTCTAGATCCATCTCACTACCGCCGCATCGCAGTCATGATAAAACCGTCGGTGATGGTACGCAAATTCACGCTTCAAGGAAATCGATCGTTACGGAGATAGCGTTCTCCCTCGCATAACAGCCTTTTAACAGTGTTACTCTGAAATTTTACTCTCATCCCGCGTAAAACATCCTATATATGTATAACATACTAGGAGCATACATGGGAAATTCTGGATAGAAAACACTACTGCAATTCGTTTAATTTACAGTACATCGACGAAAATTTTCCTAGCAAGCGAATGTTTCGGTTTTTCTCGAACATGATTACTGAACGTCATCTCTCGTGGTATTTCCGTTTGCAATAAATATTCGTTATGAACGTATCGAAGATGATTATCAGATTTTTACGTCCCATATATAAAAAGTTTTCGAATCTTATATAAAACGTGTGTAATTGACAGGTATAATGCTAGAATGCAATTTTGATAAAAGAAAAGAGCTTTTCAATAACTTTGATCAAAAAGATAAAACGAAATTCAATAGATAGAAAGATAACGCAGAAACTAGAGTCTTGTCGCTCGAGAGGAATTATATTGTCGATTTACTTGCATTTACATTTATTATTTCAACATAAAAAAAAAAGAAATACTTTAACCAGTTAGCATATCCATAGTATCATTTCAACAAAATATCCATCTAATAATTATATATCACATTATATATAGGTATATATAAAATCTACTATTTCCCGAGTGATTAGATGAATTATAATTTTTGTATATATAATGCTTGAAGAATCTGCGAATGCTTGAAATTTATTTAATAATTTATTTTTTAAAGAGAGATGTTTGATTATAATCATCATTAAAAATATTTTTATAATTAAATATATAATTTATTGTATTTATCAATTATATTCGATTATTATTATTTTGCTCGCAAAGTATCCAAAGTATATATGTATACCGTACATATACTCTATTAGAAAAGTCTCTAAGAATATTCCGAGAGAATCTGCCGTAATTAAATATCTCTCATTGGATACCGCATAATATTGTATGATATAGTCGATAGAGAATCACGTCAATCGAAAACGAAGTAGACAGTCTTCTAACATACTTGGAATAACAAATGCGAAAAGCCGAAAGCGGCAGTATTGTTAGCTTTTGTCGAAGCAGTCGTTGAACCCACATTGAAATCCATTTTTCACAAGTAGCTCTCTATTCTTGCTTACCGCCGGTCGAGACCAGGCGGCATCATTCGAAAGCGCATGGAGTGCAGCAGTTCTATTCATCTTTCACTGCTCCCGGTGATTCTCTGCTCGACGGACTTGTTTCTCTTTGCTCCCCTTGCGCATCCTTCTCCTCCAGCACTCGACGGACGAAACCAACGAGCGATGGTAAACCATTGAAGAGAGTCAAGGTATATGTACATAAGTCGTATCCAATCCTGAATACTCTGCTCTACACTCCTCTCTCTTTATATCCTCGAATCTTCAGTTTCTCATCATCTCGTGGTGTACATTTTATTATGTCGCATATTTTTCGCGAAGAACCAAGTTGACAAGGAGAATTTTCTCTCTCCTCGACTGCTTGCCGTTCTTCTTTCCGTCTCAAGTGAAGGCTCGGAATAATATTATTTTTTTGAAAATAAACATACGAATAAATAATAAGGGCATTCTTTGGACAATTGCATTTGCCACCGCTTATCTCTCTGATGATTTATTGTTTATTGCAAATACATAAATAATGTATTTTGCGTACGTTATAATATTCAATACAGACAATCGGTTCTCGAGCAATAAAATTACTGCCAATCAATATAAATGTGGCTTTGAAAAACATATAATATAAAAAGATCAAATAATAATTAAATATCGTTAAATAATATAAAAATATCTAAAATATTTTTATTTGACAATAAAAAGACAGAAAATAAAAATGAATATTAATGCGTATAAAAGCGATAAGACAATTTAGCAAGAATGATTGGATTGATTAATATGCAATTAATTTGCGAATAAAAATATCCGTCGAAATAATAATACGCGCCTCTTTATAAGTTCCTTATCGGCTTGCCGGTCTTCACGGAACTGCAGACGGCACTAATAATCGTCCCGATGGGACGATTCTACCCGTTCGTTGTTATCACGCAACATTACCCCAAGATAAAGCGTCCAACGCAGCGATTGCAATGGCGCTGCTGCAAAATTGAGAGAAAAGATCGAAATAATAGAGTCTAAAGTCGTATAATAATATTAATACAATTTTCATTGAATGTTAACCGTACCAGCCCTAATTTTTTTAAACAATTTTTTTATTCGTTGATAATTATATATTTACATTAAATTTATAGTTCATATCTCTTTAAAAACCTCCAATTCAAATTTCTAATTAAGCGTGAAATTAATATTTTACGAAACGCGTATTATAATTAAAAAATAATCCGTGATACTTTACGATAGAGAAAAATATAAATTAAAATTATTAAATAATACTGCTCGAACAATAGTCTCAATAATGTCCAGCGCTTTATCCGTTATTTCGTGCTCTTTAAAAACCTGCTCGCTGTATCGATAATGCTTCCCTGGGGGCGATTCTGAATTTAGCTCTTAGTCAAGTCAGCTTTGCTTGTTATCACGCAACATTACTCCGAAATAAAGGACAACGCGCGCCAGGTAACCCTCGAAGTGGTATAAGAGGTAGACGGGGATACTTTATCTAGAAGGCGTATGATCTCGCAACCCTGCGTGGATAAGAGATACATAGATAGGATGAACCCTTCCTTCCGCACGCCCTTCATGATATAAGCCAGCGATATATAACGCTGCTGCACAAACAAGAGTCAATAGACAGTGCACCACATATGTCGCTATTGCGGGGTTCAGCGCCTTGGACGACACATAATGTTGCCCCAAAGCCGTATACGAGTCGATAAGACCTATTCATCGAGGAGGATCGAAACTCGCTCTGTCCCTCTTACCGGGGGATCAAACCGATGTGTTTACTCGCAAGCGTTGATACGCAACGAATACTGGTTTGTCTGCGAGCTCTGCTTTAATTTTTATATCGTAATAAAACAATTCGATTTGATGAATTGAAGGAGAGATTGATAAGAAATGCCGCGTGTAAATGTATGTGTGCGATATTCGTTCTTTAATTCTCAAGTCGTAGCAAATATAATTATTTCGATAATTATTTTCGTCAAAAATATTGAGATCATAAGATATAAAATAAAAAGCTCAATATATAAATTATGCAACGAAAAAAGGGTAGATCCAAGGCTATAATATAAGGAAATATTTACACGCTGCTAATTTGCAACCCATGCATAAATCAACTTTGCAGAAAATAACATGCAATCTATAGGCGAATTGATAAAATCGATTTAACGAAGTTGGTTGTTTCGTTCGAATATCGAGCGATTATTTCATTTATTCCCGTGTTTATTTGTGGAAATTAATGAGACTTGTATGCGATTTTGATTGGACAAGCAAGAGTATTGAAACCTACGATTTCTAAAGAACAAAATAATTATATATTTATGATTCTGTAAATTACATCTCTCTCGCCCAAAATAATTCTCAACTGCGGTAACTTCTATACAGAACGCAATTCCTCGTACAACCAACGTGCGATACGTCAAATTTAACAAATACCATTAGAAGTTGCAACGAGCACGTCGCTAAGAACACGGACTTCCCGAAATTGTTTATAAACGCATTATAAAAATACAGCTTTTAGAAATACGTTGCTTTTAGAAATATTGCAGTTACAACAGCTTCAGCGTCAACATGACTCTTAATAAACGAATTGAGTGCGTGCTCTCTTTATACATAAACTAATATTACGCCAATTTTTGTCCCAACAATTTTTGCCCTTTTCGCCTCAAATTCGTTATTAAAAAGATATTCTGTTGTCACGGTAGATTTTTTGTATTAACGGCTCGAGCATAGAGAGAAAAAATATTTATTCTAATCTTTAGTGAATCCTCAGATTTTTGAGAACAAAAGATAAATTTATACTATGATAATAGAAACTCGCTTAATTGTTTATTTATTCAAGTTCAATATATGTGTAAATTATAATAATATAAGATGATATACGATATAACGTGCAACAATCACAATTATAAACTTTACAATGTATATTCTGGTTTGCGTGGACTAATTTTACGCGTAACAGAATATAATGAAGTGCCAACGAAGTAAAACCGGAACTCGACGAGTCTGTAATAACGAACGAAGTCTGCGGGTCGTGGGACAAGCGTACGGAAAATCGATCGCAGTCAGTCATAATAGAGATATTACCAAGGAGGACACGTGCCGCCCGCTTAGATACGAGGATAGTCGGGGGTTCACAAAATTAATAACTCATAAATTTCTGGGAATATTGTCGGGAAAATTATCCCATATATTACCGCGTCGGCCGACTAACTTGGCGTCTTCTATATCCCGAGACTCCTTATTG